GGTACTACATAGTTAATAACAAAAACAGTATAAATATACTACAGCAATTAATAATATTATCGTATTATATCGTCGGCTAAGACGTAATACCTCATAAGTCAAAAATATTAATTTATAAGTTAAAAAAAAATTATGAATAAAATATTATTGAGTCTACGCTAGTCACAAGTCACAACCGGTGTATATCTAAAATCTGTAGTTGTACTTATCGTACAATGTACTATATACAATAATAATATGCTATAATATAATATAGCAATTTTACTTATTGTCTTGATTTCAACATTTTCGTTATTGACTCCCTATTATTAAATATTAATAATACATTATACGTAATTTTCCGTTACCGCACCGCTCTATTCCGCATAACCATAATAATATGCTTCGTCCTCCATCCAGATCCAATATTAAAAAGTCGGGTAAAACCACCGTCTACCGATAAATATTATAACTGTTATCTGTGTGTAAAACGAATTCTATGTTTAGACATGGAACACGTAGGCAATGAGTGAAGTACGGGCCGCGGGGCGCGCGACAACGGTCTGGCGGTGTTAACGATTATTATATTTATATTATATATAGATATGATTTGATTAGATTAATTTTATTTTATTATTTCGTGATTTTGTCTTCAGTACAGTCGTCTGTCAGACGTTCGTTTCTGAGTTTCAGACATTTCACTTGTGTATTTGTGTTTACTCTTTACTGTAAACGATCGTTATCCATCTGGCATCTTGGCATTTTGCGACATTTGCAGTTCGCTTCATTATAGTTCATAGCATTTTACGTACTGTGTAAGCTACACCAGGTAAGTATACAATTTCATTCGTAAAACATAATTTAGGTATATTGTATAATAAAATATAATAATGAATAGGTAGGTAATAGGTATTTTTTATATTTTTTGTCCAATTAAACCAGTAATGCGATTATACAGTTTTATGAACCCTCTATTTTTACCTATTTTAATTTTATAAAGCTTAACTTGAAACACATTTTTGTTTTTATATTAGATAATTTGTTTTTGTTTAATCATTTTTTAAATTTTTTCTAATTATGAAAATCAAATTTGCTACAGACTAAATATACCTAATTAGTAATTATTACTAGGTATATTAATTTTGTTAAGCTTTTGTCAGTAATCTAAATAAGTACCTACCATTATGTCACTCAATAAAAATACTGTTAGTAGGTCTACTAAACGTAGAAGGTTTTTGGAAGATTTAGAAATGGTAGATTATTTGTATGACAATGATACAAATGTAGAATGTGAATTACAACCAAGTACATCACACAATTCTAATTTAGAAAATGCAAATATAAATTTATCAGTTTCAAATTCCAACAATCCATTTACTGACATAAATTTGCCATGTAACCCAATCTTAGGTGATACGCTTTCAATTGATTCTATAAATTTAGCCGATAATGAATTTGAAAATGTGTTGTTTTCTTCAGATTCAGATTCTGATATTGACATTAATAACCACCTTAAAATTAGTGGTACATTTGATGTATTTGAGTGCAATGATAGTATTTTAAAACCATTAGCAAAATGGGCAGTGGCTAACAATATTACACTTGCTTCTTTTTCTTCTTTACTGAAAGTATTAAAAAGTCACAAATGTTTTAAAGATATCCCAGTTTATGCTAGAACTGTATTAAAAACTAACAAAACTAAGCAAGTTAATGATATTCAAATTGTGGAACCGGGTTTGTATTATCATTTTGGGGTCGCTAATGGCTTAAATTCTTTTGGTGATATGCTAGTAAATTTTAATGATGTAATCAAAATTGTAATAGGAATTGATGGATTACCCCTTACAAAAAGTTCCTCAAGTACATTTTGGCCAATTTTAGGATATGCTCGAGACCCTATTATTCCCTATAGTCAACATAATATATTTATTATAGGGTTGTACTGGGGAAGAGAAAAACCTAAATCTTCTAATGATTATTTAAAATATTTGGTTTGTGAACTAAAAGATTTGTATAAAAATGGCATGCAAACAAAGTTTGGTAAAAAAATTGTGATAGTTGATGCTTTTTGTTGTGACTGTCCGGCGAAGAGTTTTATTTTATCTGTAAAAGGGCATGCTGGATATTCATCTTGTATAAGATGTAAAATTGAAGGAGAACGTATAAACAATACAACGTGTTTTTTAGAAACCGACTTTTCTAAAAGAACTCATTTAGATTTCTTAAATCGTGTAGATGAAGATCACCATATCACATCTACTATTTCTATAGTTACTGAAATACCAGGTATAAATATAGTTGAAGATTTCACTCTTGACTATATGCATTTGGTATGTTTGGGGGTTATGAAAAAAATGTTATTACTCTGGTTAGGTGTATTAAAACATGCTCCTGTCAATGTTCGTATTCCAAATCGAAGTGTTAACTGTATTTCAAATAATTTATTGTTATTGAACACGTTTTTACCTAGTGATTTTTCAAGAAAATGCAGGGGGTTAAATGAAATTTGCAGGTTTAAAGCAACTGAATATAGGTTATTCTTATTATATACAGGACCTGTCGTCTTAAAAGATATTTTAAATGATGATTGTTATTTTCATTTTTTGTGTTTACACATCAGTTTTAGAGTTTTCTTATGTCCTGGTAGTTCTGAAAAGCTAGTGAATTTCAGTGAAAATTTAATTACATTTTTTGTTAAAAACTTTAGTGAATTATATGGCCCTCAGTTTGTTTCTCATAATGTCCATGGATTATTGCACATAGTTGATGATTACAGAAAATTTAAATCACTTGAAGAGTGTTCATGTTTTCCTTTCGAGAATTATATGAAGGTTTTAAAAAAGATGGTTAGGAAGCATGAAAAACTACTCGAACAAGTTATTAAACGCTACCAAGAATCTTTATTATTTAACCAACCTGTACTTTTGAAATCTCCTAAAGAAATAAATTATAGAAAACCTCACAGTAATGGACCTTCAGCATTCGAGCACTTAACTGTTCCAAATTTCCAGATAGTTATAAAAAATAATATTAAAATAAATATTAAGTCTACATCTGACAGCTATATAGGTTTCACAGATGAAACTGGTCTTAAAATTTTTAAAGTTTTTAATATATGTCTTGATTCTACCACAGAAAAATATGTTTTTTTAGTTAAGCATTTTGAAACTATTGGAAATTTTTTTGATAAGCCCATCAGTAGTCTTAAATTAGGTATTGCTGTCGTTAAAAATTTATCAGAATTTTATTCCATTATAGACATAGAGAATACTGAATTTGTAAAATATATGATATTGTCTAGTAATAGTAATGTAAATATTGCATACCCTATTTTGCATACATTTATTATTTGAAATAATTACAATTTTAATTATGTTACAATTATTAGTATAAAATGTAATGTATATGTTTTCTTAGGATTATTAAGTTTTTTTAAATTAATGTTAATTAATTGTATTCTATTGTAATTGTATTTAATAGTTTGTATTATTTTTGTATATACCTATAGTGTAATATAAAGATGTCCCAATATTTGGTTGTTGAATTTGAGGATAATTCAATAGAAGCTGTTCCGGCTGGCTGGTTTAAAAAAAAAGAAGGCACATGCGCGTGGCCAACCACTAAAAATACTAACTTTATTAGAAAAAGTGTCGAGTTCAAAAGTATTCCGAATGATGTTGAATACAGTTACCATGCAGCTAAAGTTTTGAAAATATCTGGTAAAAAAATATAGGTTATTTCTGTAACATAATTTAGTCTAAATCTAGTTGTATATATTATTGTGTATACTGTCTTATATTATAAGATATAGGTTATTTTTCAGATTTATTATTGAAGCTAGTTATTGTTAGTATAGACTATATGCATATATTTTACCTTATTTTACAGATTCATTATTTAAAGCAAGAAAAATGGTAAAAAAAGGATTAACAAACATTGATATATCATCTACCGATGATGATATTTTATTAAAACCCAAACAAAGAACGGCTAAAACTGCATCAAGTCTACAGTTTTCATCATCATGTCCAACATTTTCAGGTGTTACATCTAATAAAATTATAAAAATGTTATATAATCAAATGTTCATGATATTCATAACTATTAATATCCAATTTAGCATCTGAAGATGATAACTGCAGCAGTGATGAGAAAATTAAGAAGAACGGTACTAGCAGGACATTATTAAATGGATGGTCGCCATCTCCTAAAAAAGTTAAACGTATGTCCTCTTTATTAGCTAATAAAATTAAATCTTTCAATACTTTAACAGTTAATATTATGTTTATTTACTTTTATTATTGGTTATTTATTTATATTTAGTTTATGAAGGACTGGAAAATCCACCAAATAATAGCCTTACAAAAGATAGTTATATTAATGCTTCAAAGTCATCAACTGTGAAAAAATTATCTTTTAGTGATGATAATAATACATCTTTGAATGGTACTTTGAAGTACAAAAATATAGGTAAATGTTTTAAAATAATACATTTATTTATAGAATTTATGAATATGTGTGGTTATTAAATGGTAGGTGTAGGTAAATCAAATAATATATTTTATTGGTTAAATAGTATTTTTATCAAATGCCATTTATAATTATATAGTTGTTTAAGAATTTATTGTAAAACAAAAATATAGTATCTAATTTTATATATTTCTTTTTTTATAGTTGATCAAACAAATCTTGCTTGTGACCTTATTGATATAAACTCTGTGGATAATTATGTTTTTGAAACTCCCGGGAATCTGAGATATAATAATGTTATTAAATCAACTGATCTTGAACTCGGTAATTATTGAATTAAATTATATTTTACCTTTTAAACAATCAAAAAACTTAATATTTCTCATTTAATTATAGATAAAGAAAACTTAGATGTTATTGTAATATCAGGGACACCTCAATATACCATTGATCCATTACCATCGACCAAAGCCCCAGAAAATGTTGTATCAACTCCAAAAAGTTAGTATGATAAATTAATATAAATTGTTAAATATCCATTTCAACAATACATTGTTACTTAAGATGTTGACTGCACACATAATCTACTTAAAACATTTAAATATTTTGGACTCCAATTTTGCAGATATATGTAGCTATTGTGCTTAATACAGAATGTTTGTATAAACTAAAAAATTTTAATTTAAATTATAAATAAACAATATTTTTTTATGTTCAGGTACTACAGAATTCGAAAAAGAAGTGCTTCATAGACTAACATTTTTAAAATTTGAATTAAAGCGAGCTGTTAATAATCAAAGGGAGATGGTCCAAAGATTGGAAATGATAGAAGCTAGACTTGAAAATATTCCATCACATGACGTATCCACTTTTAACAATAACAATAATGGTGATCTATCATCTTTAATTGATAAAGATTTCAATATTCCTCTTGATAACATAATTGATCTTGAAATCTTTGAAGACAAAATTTCTGACAATAAAGAATTCCGTAATAAATTGGTAATTATATATATATATATTAAATAATAATTGTTGGGTATCGTGGTTTTTTATGCATTATATTTTTTCTTATAAAGTAAAAAAAATTGTGTTTATTTTATTTTTATGTATACTAATTTTTTAGGTAAATGAACTTTCATACATAGGCGGTAAGCATGTTAAAGCAATGGTCAAACGGGTGATGGCAAAATTGTTTAAAGATGAATTATTAAAAGATTTCTCTTACACTGGTAAGAAAGGCAAAAAAAAATTCTGTTGTTTGGGTTGCTGTTCTGTGATTTTTGGTAAGTATTATATTATAATATTTACCATTACTATTAATACACATAATGGAATAGATTTAATTAATTTTGGTTTATACCTAGTGCTAAAAAATACACCCATGTCCCATATATCCTAAATATATTTTTGCTATCCATACAAAATTATGTGTTTATTATAATATATTTGTAAATATTTTCTAGATGCTGTCAAAAAGCAAAATAAATTTAAAAATTCATCTCAAAATGAAATGGAGGATATCATCAAATATGTCCTTGCTCAAGCCCCATTTAACTTAAAAAGAATTTCTGACAAGAATTTCTGACAAGAATTTCTCTACTTAATTATTATTATTATATAATTTTATTTTAATAATTTTTTTAAATTTATAATATGTTCATATTTAATTTTCACAAGCAGTGATGATAGTTAAAGTTTTTTTGTATTATTAATAATATATTATATAATTTTATTTTGAAATTTTTTTTTGAAATTTATAATATGTTCCGTTTATTTTCACATTATATAATTTTATTTAAAAAATATTAGGTATAATGTATAATTATATAATATTCCTAAAACTTATGAAAATCATAATTATAATGTACTTTGTCATAAAAATTAATATATACATATTTACCAATAATATTTTTTATGAAAATAAATAGTTGCACACTCTTATATTATGCCTCCAATTTATTTTACCTAATCTTTACCTGTTTTACATATGTTATCTATATATGACATATATGTATATGTATTATGTATATAGAATATGCAAACTAATAAATAATTTTAAGTATAATAATATTTTTTTTTACAAGTTGTAAAAATATTCCACTGTAACTCTAATATTCAAGAAATATTTTCTCTATTTAATTTAATTAGGAAGAATAATATATATAATATAATTATTGATGATAATAAATTAACCATTATTAGATATATAATTTTCAATATATAATTAACGTAAGTCGTTAATAAAAATTAAATATTTGTTTAGAAATATTTATCGTAAAACTCCAAATGGTTCAAATGTAGTTTATTAAACATTGATAAAATATTTAAAAATGAAAAATCAATAACAATTAAATATTTATTAATCACCAACATTTTTTTAAAAATATTTATTGTACTTAAAATAAATATATGTATGTTGTGTGGGATTTAAAGTTTTAAACTTGTAAAATTCATCAACATTTCGAAAATTATTAATCATTGTAGGTAGGTAATTAAAAATTTTGTTATGGTGAATAAACAATACGGGTTCGGGTGGCAATATTGTGCTAACCAGTTCCCACCCGTTCCCGGTTTCAAAAAGGAGGGAAGGTAATTAAAAAATTATAAAATGTTCAATTTTTATAACTAAGGATTGAAAATTAAAAAAAAAGATTCTCATAAACAGTTTATACTGCTACAAAAATATCTACTAGATTCACTTTCCTATCTGAAAAGATGCTGTTGAAGAAAATCTAAGCATTTTTACAGTCACCTAGCTATTTTCACTTATCACGGAGAGGCCCCCCTATCAATTAAGCTTAACACAAAATATTTATTCTTTGTAGGTAATAGTCTGATAAAAGTATAATACAGAAAACATCCTACAGCCATTTCATATAAGAATAAATTTATCAATAATTATTCATAAGTACATACTTGGAAACAGTTCTACCATATTTAGTGTTGTACGTTTTTGTAATTTTGTTGGAGTGGTATTTATTATATCATCAACATCAACATGTGCATCTAAACACAAATTGTATGTTATATTTTTTATCAAAAATTAAGAAGTAGCACTCATACGTAACAAAAAAAAAAGTGCATAGATACGTAATAATTTACCTTCAACTTTCGACTCTTTTTTTGATATTCTCCACGACCAAGATTTAGGAGATTTAATAACCAAACCATCGCATTCATTATTGTCTATATAGTTAATAATATAGTTGAAAATAAGATATAGTCACTTTCATTAGAATATAAATTTGTATATTGTATGTTCTAAACTACATAAGTGCATAACGTTATTTTTTAAGTATTGGATTATTTTATATTTACCTTTACTTAAATAACTTTTGGGTACAGCATTTGGATTTAAACGTGATTTCGGAGCAGCTGGGTTTGAATAATCATTCTTTTCAAAATGAGCTGAGCAGATTACTTTTCGTCTCAACTTTTTTGGATTAAGAGCTTCTAATTCTATGTTCCCTATTCAATAAATATATTTGATAACTAAGGCTGGGATTTGTATGTAAATACATATTTTTACTAAAACGCGATAAATTAATTGTTGCAAATGATAAATTCGTTTCACGTAATTTGAAATAAAATAAGACGTATTTAATTTTACATATTTCGTCATCTATACATATTTTTACATAATTAGTAAGATTTCCGCTTTTATTTTACATATTTCGTAAATTTTGATAATAATTTCGATTATTTAGTAGTATTATACATTTAAACTTCGATAATTTTAACCACATTTTATAATATTTATTGATTAGAAAATAGAAATTAAAAACGATGAATTGTATTTTAATTTATCTCGTTAACATATTTTTAAATTTTTCTTATTACATATTCTTTATTTTATTTAACATATGTTTGTAATTTTAATTACATATTTATGTACCTACATATTTTTGGTTTTTTATTACATATAAATCCCAGTCCTATTGATAATATAACATATTGTAGTCGTTTATAAGTTGTAACCAAATTGCAAATCTTTTTACAACTGTTATTTAAATACATACCAGAGTTTATAATCCATTTCCTTGATTCAACTTCATTAGTAGGAAATTGGTGAAATATTTTTAGAGAATTATTTCGCGTATTCTGACATCCTCTGTACATGCATCTGTCACCACCCATATTTTAATTTATTTAGATTGAATGACAAATTTTAATGAAAAAAATAACACAAGACAGGAGTAGTGAATAGTGCTTTACACGACGTCGGTAAGCAAACAATGTGGTCAGTAAATTATCAATGTGTTTACTGTTTACTATCATAGATATTTTAATTTTAACAGTGCAGTTATAAATAAACCAAATAATAAATATACACAACGCGTTTAATGCGGACGAACAGTTTTATGTGGAGGGAATATTTTCGATATGCCTTTAATATTTTCGGAGATTTATACACCACGCCAGTGTTTGTCCTAGCAGATAGGTACATTTAAATTGTATAGTTTTAGACAGCTCTTTTATTTTCCTCATTTCCTGTCTACCTTAAGAGGACACTACACCCGAATGTGTTGTCTCCATCGTACAAGTGCTTAGCATACCAAATTTTACGCTCAGCAGATCACGTTTATCTCCGTCAATTTAAAATTTAGAGTGAATTGACCTATTATAAAAATACAAGACACAAAATTCAAACATCAGACGCTTATAAAATATTATGAAATTACACAATTTTTTTTTTTAAAGTAAGTACGTTACTTATGAGGAAAAAATTGAGCAAATTTGTTACTCTCAGAATCTAAAACACGCATTCTGTGCACAAAACGTTGAAAAATTACGTATTTAAAAAAAAAAATAGGTAATTTATGTGAATAATTTGAGTATATAATTTTATAAATTTGTACCAACTATTAATTAAAGTTTAGTTTTATTTTGTTTTTTTTAGCCTAGCAGTACTAAATTGTTTTATTTATTTGGATTATTAATTATCATAGGTACTTAATATTCATTACTCTAATTTATTAATTATATTAATTGTTTAAAGCAGTGGATATTTTGTATGCAGATCAGTTGATTTTTATTATGTCCTATCACTGTAACAGTAAAACCGCGTTGCGGATTTCGGATTATACATCGAGTAGTGAGTACCTAACTATGAACTACGCTCTGCATGCAGGATATATGCTGTAGTATTACCATAATGAGATAGTGTGAAATAAATAAATAGTATGGACTATGGAGTATAATATAGACTGGTAGTCAATTGACAATTATGGAATGATGTGCCTCTCCTGAAATCGCTGTGCCATTGCCATTCGCCAACCAGACGTGACTACAGCGATTACAACGTTACCCGACCACACTAACCATGCGACTACAGCGCCTCATAGCGTTACCCGACTCTTATCGTGCCACCGAAAAACCGGCCAGTGAGCAATCTATAGTATTTATAATCAATGCTAATACTAATGCTCATGAGCAGTATAATTATAGGTGCATTCTTACATTAATGGACAACAGCATTCGTCCACATTATCTTGATCATTAATGACCGTATCCGGAGCATTATAATTAGAGCTGGTGCACTCTTCCGTTATATTCCTGGTTTGGCAAACAGGTAATTGTCCGCATTCGTCCGCATTATCTTGATCATTAATGACCGTATCCGGAGCATTATAATTAGAGCTGGTGCACTCTTCCGTTATTTCCCTGGTTTGGCAACCAGGTGATTGCCCGCGTTCGTCTACATTATCAGGTATATTGTTACCCATATACAGAGGTGTGTCCAGGACAACAATTCAGGATAGGCCCACGATTATAAGAAAATATTGAAAATTATGCACATTTTTTTAAGGAAATTTTTAATAAAATGTATACCTATTATTTAAAATGTACAGTTTAATCATAATATAATTGTAAAACCCTATTGAATAATACATACTGAATACCCTTTTTACAAATTGTGAACCCTTAAATCCGCCACTGTCCGCTGGACACGCCTCTGCCCATATAGAACTATAATAAGTATAAATTAGTATAATTACGCAACGTATATGGCATTAGACGAATTATTTCATCTAAAGTATTCTCCCGACGGACGTTGAAAACAGGCAAACAATCATGTTCTTGTATTTCTGGATCGCATCTCAGATTTGCTTTGCGTTTACGACACGTCTGATTTGACGATTCGGTTAAAATATTTGTTATTATATTTATCTCGTGTAAGACTTTATCTGATGGATGAATGATGCCTCCGAAAACTGATGGCCAATTGTCTTGGATTACATTGAATCTAAAAGAAAAGAATAGAAAATAGAAAAATTAAATGTCCATCACAGAATTTAGATGATTATATTAGACTATATTCGATAGGTACTCAGGGTAAGTGTAGATAGCCGGGCGTTCACGAACTTTTCCAAAATCTCCTGGGAACATAACAGCTAACTGTGGTGTCCTTTTTCTGATCCAAGTGTTGACAGTTTCTAATCGTTTAACATCGACTGCGTCTACCTGAAACAAAATCTTGAAAATAATGAAACTAAGCTCTTGTCGTTTAGCATTGTCTAAAAATCTTCCATAATCCTCTTGGGATATATTATCAAAACTTTTATTTGAGAAATGAGCGGCCAT